TTTGTTTAAATATATATCAAAGTATTACGTTTTATATATAGATTAAATAGACAAAATATTTTTATTAAGCTTTTTTTTTTTATTGTATTATATTTTATAAGTATGTTTATATATATTTTTTTATGTAAATTTATTACTTTACTTATTTCCTTCTTTGATGATGGTTATTATTTATTTAGTTTATAAAGTATTAAAAAAAAATCAAAAATTTGCTTTATCAAAAATTTTCAAAATTTAAATAAAACCCAAAAAAAAAATTTTTTTTTTTTTTTAAAAGATTTCATTTTATTTTTATTATTATTATTATTATATTTTTTGTTTAAGCATTTCTTTAAGTAGAAAAGGGTATAACTTAAGCACATATCAAATTAATTTAATTAAAAATATCATAAATGTATTTAGAAATGTATGCGAAGATAGACAATAGACGGCAATCGCTTTCCAGAAAATCAGGCTTCTTGATGGCATCTATTGACATATGCGTAAATTCGTTGAATGAATATCTTTCCTTGTTTTTTTTTTTTTTTGCTCTATTTTATATATAATAAATTTGAAATTTAACGCAGATTTGTACAAGCGGTCTTAAACAGGTAGTAGCCCGTTCAGATCTGCATTGTTAACTGACAGAACGGCTGCCTAGATACATAAATCTGAACAAATAAAGTTAAATGATGTGAGGAAACGCCAGGAGACGTCAGCTTATTCAATACCCACACGCCTAAGAAAAGAAAGGCATGGCTGTCAACCTGGAGAAGCGAACCTGGTTTGCATAAGTGTCATTAAATTTAAAGTGATTAGAAATTAGAAGTGAAGGCTACGTGCCGGGAGGATGCTAATGAGCACACAAAAATATCTAAGCCTTATTTTCTAGATATCTGCTCGAATAGATCGGAATATCGTGCTTTGAGGAAATGGCCAACATGGTGATAGGTATTTTAAGAAATGGAAAGGAAATTTGGAAATTTGCTAGAATTTTTTATAAACATTTCTCTCTGCGACCGGATGATGTGGATGAAAAAAGCTTCAAAAACAACAGTTGAAATGTACGAATGAGCGAATAAGAGCGAAAGGCTACTTTCATTTTTAGAATATCCGCCGGATCTGTGTCATTTTTATCAGTTTATTTAGCTAACCTGAAAAGGGTATTATAAAATGTACACCCTATCTTAATTGTATATTATAAGGCGCTTAGTTTCACGTCTAGCCAGGAATGTGAAGATAGAACATCTCGAAAAATGCGTAAACGAATTTGATTGTGCTGATGTTTTGAAATGAAGTTCCCAGTGCTTGACTACTACCAAAGACTTGTGTAGAAAATTCTAAAAACTTTGAGAAATGTGTAAGAGTGTGCACATAGAACTATTTCTGAGAAAAAATATTTTTCGAATAATTTTTTCTTTTGTCTCATATGATACTTTTTACAACAAATAGACTCATACCATATGACTGCCGGATCGATAATTGAAATTTTTGACAAGAGTGTAACTCAGTCGTTTTGCTCATTAAGAATTGTTGAATGCTTTCAATAAAAACATTGTGTTCAATAAATTATCGGTTAATAAACGTGCAAAACTTATACAAATAAATTCAAGGTTGTCTCATTATTATTATTATTATTATTATTGTTATTATTGTTGTTGTTCGTATTTAAGATAAGTGAATGACAGTTTTTAATATAAGAGATTCTAGCTGTCTTAGTGTTAGGTAAAGCGGGAGATTTTTATTTCTTACTTTGATTTAGGTTTTTTTTTTTTTTTTTTTTTTAAGTAAATATTAGCAGCATTTCTTAAAAGTATACATATATATATATATATTTTCCACTTCATTATTAATTAGTATTGTTAATGAAAATTAAATGGCTTTTTTTTTTCTGCTGTTACTATAATAATTCAAGAGAAGGATTATATGCGTTTACATGTTGTTCAATATATAATCGGGATGTTTGCTTTTTTATTTTTATTTATTTTTTTTATTTTGCTTGATTTTTTTAAATAATTTTGCAAATTAAACGGTTTCTCTGGGGTTTGTGTTGGTATTTTGAAATTTTATCTTGAAAACCGTAAATATTATATTCATTTTATTATTCTTGAAATACAAGTTTGTTTTCCTTTCTATTATTTATTTTTTTCTTTTTAATCATTTTAAAGCAGTTTTTCTTTTGTTAGTTCAAGTGTAAATTTAATGAAATTTTACGTTTTAAAGTTTTGTATTGTGTATGTTGACGTGGGCGGCATTTTTTCTAGCCGGATGAGGCAATAGCTGTGCCTTTATTCTCCTCACATAGGGCAGCCTTATTTTGACGTACCATCTCAGCACGACGTTCCTGCATTTTGAAAAATTATAATTAATTTTAACATTCTTAGTGCAATTTTTTCTTATTATAAAAAAAAAAAAAAAAAAAAAAAAAAAAATTAAATAACATTAATCTTTGAGTACCAAACATAGAGCATTTTTTTTTTTTTTTTTTGAACTTCACTCTTTAATAAGTCAACCGACTCATGCTTATTGGAGCGCGCAATGAATTTATGTAAGCAATGGATGAAAATGAAATATTTTGAAATTTTATAATGAGAAAGAAACATACTTAAGCAAACTCTGCCTTGTCTCCTATAATCTAAAACATGCAGATGCTTCTCACGGTTGCAGAAGTCTCAAAAAGGAATTTATTCTGAAAATCCCCTTATAATGACTATTGTTTACTTTAAACGTATAGTATATATACATATATGTATTCCTTTCCGTTCGTTGTTTTATTTATGATTTTTTTTTTGTGTTTACTTTAAACAACCACTACAAGCATTTAAGGTGCAACACATAATAATAATAATAACAGTTTTTCCTTACTGCACACATGTTTTTTCTACTGACATCCAGACTTATGTCGATGTAACAAGCTTTTTGAAAATGTCGTCAATCTTTAATTTCCAAACTTGGCACGAGAAGAATGATAAATACTTTCCTGAAGAATTTTTCATGATTCTCGCATAAACGAAAATGTGATTGAAAGATATCGAATTGCGACGAAAAAATTTCAATTAATTAATGAGAAAGAATAAAATTTTGAAATCACCAATAAAACCTACCGAAAAGTCTCTTGACGCAATGCAAGCGTTCTGGCCCCATTACTTATTGCGGCTGTCTTATAACTGATAGTGTGAGAAAAGTATTCACACTTTAGTACAATTTTCAGTAAGAATGAAAACAGCATGTGCTGAATGTGGAAGTTATATTTGCATATTCAACAAGGTCGAATAAAACCCAAAAGGGTTTAAAATAGGCTCAGGTCTTATTATACCGGCAGATTTAGAATCATTTTCTGAATTGATTTAATCATGTCTGTCCATCTGTCCGTCTTATGTCAGTCAATGGCGACACGCTATCATTTATGAGATATTTTGTGGAAATTTAGATATGCTAGTGTGTTTTTGGCTGAGAGACGTCTCCTATTGAAAATGAATACGATCGGACCATATTTATAAAAAACTCCCCACATAAAGCCTTCTTTTGAAAAAATCTTTACATGACAAAAGTTGCAATTTTCAAAATTTCTCGATAAAACTTGCTCAGTAATGGTATGTGAGTATACCAAAATTATATAGAAAATTTGGATCAGATTGACGGATGTTTTGAAAAGGACGCTCCTAAAGTAAAACATAAAGTGAGAATATATCTAATTCCGTGATCCACAATCCACAGCAGATAAAAGGATAATAATTTCTGTACACATTCTACGAGCGATTCTACAGCACACGTACGAAAATGAAAAAATAGCCACGTCGACGCAATATATGGAGTAACGAAATTTAGTCTTTCTCGTTTTCAGTGAGACAAAGTAAGCTGGATATTAAAAAATTGGTAAGAGATGAATATAATTTTCTTACTCTGCAAACTATCCAAACTGGTTTACGTTTAGTCGACCTTTCGAAGTAGAGGAAGTAGCAAACTATTGAAGAAGTGGAGAATTCCTCTTTGAATAATTTCTGCTAATTAATCTACCCATGTATTTTATGCAAATGCATTAACAATAAGATGGCAGCAAAATTAATTTGACACATACAATGATATAGCATGCGACATACACATATAAAATTGGAATTAAAGGCTAAATCCTGCATAAAAATAATCTGTCCGTCACTTAAAATCATGTCCCTAATATTCCACAAGGGCCCCAAAATTATATCAGTTATCGGCCAATAATCTACAAAATATGGCAAATAGTGATCCGAAATTTGAAAAACGAAACAAAACCGTTGGAAAATCTTGAAAACAAATAAGATTTGCTCCAGAACGATTAAAACTTTCACACGCTTACCGCTAAGGTATAAAAATATGTACAGAATGTATGTAAGTACAGAAAGAAGAATCCATCAAATTTATGTATAGAGTATTTTGATTAGCGTCAAATTCTAAATCGACATAGTTCGTTCGTCAGTGTATCGTGTCCTACACGACGCCCAGATGAGCTAAAGATGTCTGTCCGTCTGTTCGCGTGTTCGTCTGATGTCTCTCCATGTATTTTTGTGTTCATCACACAGATCGCAGTTTATGAGATATTTTGATCAAATTTGGCGTCAAAGTGTTTTGACCCAAAGACGAGTGCTATTGAAAATAGTCTTACTGTGCAGGCATCAAAACCTCCCCGCCAACTGATGTTTTCAAAATGAATTAGGAAGTCTGCAACTTTTCTATGTCCGCCCTAAGACAATGTGTCTTTTTTTTTTGGTTATTAATAATGGTACAGCATATTGCGCAGCGCACTTTGAGATGATTTTAAAATTAAAATATAAATTATAGAACAAATAAAAAAACAAATAAATAAAAAAATAGAAAACGAAAATAAAAAAAAAAAAAACAACAAAATTGTACATTCAATCAGTAAATAATTTACATATATAAAGAGGAAAATTATAAAATTAATAAATAAATTATTTTGAAAAATGTGAAAAACGTACTAGTTTATGGACTTTTTCGATTTTCTTTTGTATTTCCTTTTCACGATTTTGCTCAGCTGTATACAATTTATTTTCAATAATGCGGGCCTTCTCCTCGATTTTTTGTGATTCCAATTGATCGATTTGATTTTTGATTTCGGCAATTTTAATAGTGTTCTAAAATTAAATGTATACAGAATTTATACAAAAAAACAACAATGATAAACACAATGAATCGAATGAAATGATTAAAAATGTAATTAAAGCTAAGAAGAATAATACACATATATAGTAAAAATAAAAAAAGTAAAAATCTTCGAAAAATTCAAAATTAAAATATGCGAAATGAGTGTGCCTAAACAAAAAACATAACCTTCAAAATTTATATATGAAAGAATTTTGGACAAAAAACAAAATCAAACTCTAAGCCTATCTTTAGTGCTCTTGAAGTGCGGATTGTTGTCTATTTATTTTGCCAAAGTGACTTCTTTTCAATGCCAAGTTTTACTCACATGTTCCTTGAGACGTTCAAGCATTTTCTTAATATTTTCATCACGCAATGTCTGAGCCGACTTCAATTTCTCTTCGATAGCAATTTTTTCAACATATTTTTGATGTTCTAATTGTTCGCGAGTCTTTTCAATTTCTTGAGAGTGTATCTGTTTTAGTAAAAAAAAAAAAATAAATTTTTTGAAAAGCTTTAATTAAATTAAGTTTTTATTATTATTATTATTATTATTTTTGAAAATACCTTCAATTTCTCCTTAAGATCACTAATAATGGCCTCACGTTTCTCTACATGTTGTTCCATTTTAGTTTCTAAATTCTCCTTGGTTTGATTGATGAACTCATTAGTGATTTCATCTTTTTTGCGAGTGGCTTCCTCAATTTTAGCCAATTTATAAGATAAGTCAGCCATTTTCTTTTGTTCCAAAGACTGAAATCATTAATTTGTCGGAATTAAAATCATTAAGGAAACTTTTGCAAATTGATTATATACGCTCTCTTACAATACGTCTTTCTTCGGCGGCCTTTAGTTTATTTTCAATCTCCTCGGCTGAAACATTTTTACCGGGTGTAACCGGCTTTTTGGGTACAGCTACATTTGGAGCCGGCTCAGCCAAAATCACCTCATAACTTAAGCCCCCACGTGATTTCTCCTGGCAACGTATTTCAGTGGCTATAGGAAATAGAAAATGAAAAAGCGATTAATTAAATATTTCACTTACGTCATTTAGACGAAAAAAAAAAAACTTGAATAGAAGAACTTTTAACATTTAGATCAAGCTTTAGACTTTATCCTTTAGGCATTTCGCTGCGAAAAACTTTTCTCTTTCTTTGAATATCCATGTGTCCCGTGTTTGCGTAATTCGTAGCAAAATTCTAATGGATCCTTTAGTAATTCTTCACTTTTTAAATAGAAGAAAAGCAAAAGCCTGTCTTCCCCATCAATTTCTCTTTTTTACATCCATCACGAAGAGGTTAGAGACTTTACGCATTATGTTAAAGCGTTTATAGAAGGACGCTTCGAAGATCCTGTAAAGTACCTGATCTGTGTCAAATTCTCTTCCTACCTAAGCATGTCTGTCTGTCCCATCTGGCATGCAGATTGTAGATAGTCGTTGTGGGTATAAAAGATTTTGACACAATTCGCAAACGCATAAAAAAAAAAAAACCAAAAATATGTTTTTAAAAATGATTTGTAAAATGTTAACATCAAATATGATCTTTGCATGTAGTTTGATTTTTTACTTTGGCGAAGAAAAAAGACTGCTGATGCCCCATTAAAGATATGCGTTGTGTATTGAGAGGATGATGTTAGTGAAAATAAGATTTGCAGAGTTTATGATATTCGACTGAACCAGGACATGGAAGCTCTCCTTTTTTTTTATTATATGGCCGACCGTTCGGAGGAAGTCCTCTATTAGTGTAATAGGGAGACGGTCGGAAAGAGATGAGGAAGAGGAAGAGATAGGGAAGTGCTGCAGTCTAGTGGATGTGTGCACAATTATTAAGTTACGGCGTCATCGACTGAGCACTGACTTTGTGTTCACGATTTTCTTCAACTATCTACCCAGGAGTATATTGATTGATTCCAACTACAAGAACTGTTGGATGTGAGCTTCACTTTGCAATTTCTTGAAGGCATTTTCGGCAGTTTGATGTCGAAGCAATCAAGTAAAATTTTCATTGCGAACTTAGTTTACGACATTATACGTAGACACAATAATATTTTATGTATATATAGTATCTAAATATAATAAATTGCGTTAATGGGATGCTCGTAAAAAAAAAAGTCCTTTTCACAGCTCATATATCACATTTTTATTGTTGCTGTATGCGATGGGCAGGTGTGCGACTTGTATTAATTACTTTTCGCAAAAGTGGTAGAGAAAAATTGAACGGCAAAAAACTATACAACGCATATTCATAAAAGGAAAACGATAAAATGGTTCAGTTAAGGTGACCAAACAAAGTTCTTTTTTGTCGGTTGTAGTCGGCCTTATTTAAAGTAAACAAGTACAATCATAGTAGGGGGCCACGGTCCACCATTAATACATTTATTTATAATATAAGAACTTTTTAAAATAAGCCGGATCGATCCGAACCATTTTCAATAGTGTTCGCCCTTGGACCAATATATGTCAATTTGCGAATTTCATTTGTAGGTTGGACACAAGAAAGAAGACGGACAGACGGGCGGACATACAAATTTACATAATAGTATAATAATTGTTATGATAAAAGGTACATCTAGTTTAAGTCGTTCTGCGTGTTGCATACATTCACACAAACTTAATATACCGTTATACCACAGCCGGTATACGTTATGAAAAGAAAGTAGAAAAGTTCACTAAGCACAAAACGAAAAAAAAAAAAAAAATTTGTTTTGAAAGTTAGGGCTCGTAAAAAGAACTTATAAAAATTCCCATGCGTACAAAAAACATTTGATTATCTTAGTCCTTCGTTACATATCAAAAACGGCGGAAAGGGTTAAAATATTCAAATATTTTGGTAGCTACGATTGCACATTGAAGAGAAATTCTATATGACACATTTGACTTATGCCGAAAATGGAGCTTACTCGGTTTAGATTTCTGTGTTCGGTTTTTGAAAAATTGCTCTCTATTAATTTACACAAAAATATATTCCTTTTTTTTTTCTTCTTCAACATTGATGCGTTATGTGAAACACACATATCCTCACTTGATGCTAAAAACAATTCCAAATGTTTTCTCGCATAAAATTATTTCAGCTTTTTTTTTCTTTGTTTTTAATGACAATGCTTTCAACGTTTAATTCAACTCGGTGCTCCGTGGAGCACCAAATGTTGTTTCTCTTTTCAATTCTTATGACCTAAAAGTGACCACAAACCGCAAACATACTAAATAAGCTTACGTACAAAATTGGGTGGAAATAGTTCCGAAAAGCGAAATTTGAATTTGTTTAGCTTGAAAGGGGAATTTTCATACAGATTTACATAATCTAAGCGAATATTGGTGGAATTTTCTGCTTTGACCGCACAAGGGTCTCCAATTTGACGATTTTCCCATAATCGGTTTATGTTTACATAAAAAATTTTAAACGTTTGTTAAAATTGCTACCGAAAAATAAAATTTCAACTTGTTCAGCTTGCTTGAAAGGTGTTTTCATATAGATTCATGAGGTGTTCACAAGAATATCCTACGCTAATTAATTTGAACGGAGTAGGCTTCCAAATTCAGTCCTACCTTTATGCTATCTACTTAACCGACCTGTGTTACGACGTTGGCGCAGTTCTGTTAACGGCGTTGGTAAATGTCTTTAGTAGTTAACCTCTTGATGATCTTGGTCACATATGTGGACGCGTAGATTTTTTAAAATTATAGTTACTTCCATTAGTCAAAGGAAGAAAAATTTGAGAAATTCAAACTCTATTGCTTAATGCACTGGTAGCTGTACCTACGGTGTTCAGTTGGTTGGTCCAGTAGGAAGAAAAAAGAAAATAAAGCAAGAAAAAAAGCATCGTCCCTGAAGAGGTTAAATTCGCAATTTATCTTCACACTTGGGGCATTAAGGATGTACACTTCCGTTTACAATTTACAATTTATTTCGCTTCGATATCACGACTCGACTCTCTTTACTCAATTCTTTTTGCCTTCTGCAAAGACGCCGCTTATATGCCCTCTTGTAAGCAAGTTGTCATTACCTAAATTCAGCGTGATATTTCTAATCCGCTACCCTGTTAATCTATTTTCCGCTGAATTTCTGCCAGTTGTTGTCAATCTTGCCTCCAGTCGCCAGCTGCATGAAATAATGTACTTTTGCTTTTACGCTTCCTCAGCATTTAGTTTCTTAGAAAACCGATTGATTTTCATGAAAGTCCAAATCATGAAAAATGGCCTTTTCCTAACAAGATTTACATTTTGCGAATATAAGTAAATAATTTTTTGCGAATTGTTGTTAATGTTTTCGCCAGAGAAGTAGGCCTGGACTAGCAAGGCTCCGCTTCGAAGTTAAGAAAAACTTAACAATAGAGTCACTACCTCGACTATATTTAAAATTAAAATAATTCTTTTTTATACCCACCCACTGAAGACCGGGGATATATTCCTTTTATTTTCTTCCATAAAGAAAGCTTCAGGGATTGAAATTTTGAATGGTGAATAAGCCATGTCTGTCCGTTGGCGTAGCGATTGTTGTTGGCGCTCTTTTGGTGGCAAAAATGGAGATATCGACTTCAAATTTGACAGAAACATTGGAAGTTTTTGTACGCACGTTGATGGTGAAAATGGGCTAAATTGATCAGAGCAGAAGCTCACAGTGGAGTGTAAACTGAACGCAACTCCGTTTTTCCAAGCAAAAAAAATGTGTTCTTCGAAAATTATAAAAGTTCGAAAGCTAAAAATTTCCACATTTACTTTACAGAAGTGTGTAGTTTTTACGTGCAATAAATTGACCATGCCCACATAAAGTCACAATTAATTTTTACAGTTTTCATGTTTATTTATCATAAGGCAAAGAAGACAGAATTCTTAAAACCATTTTATACATTGCTGAAATGAATACATACATATTATCTGCCTAAAACTCGGTTAATCCTAAAATAAATATCGTAGACACCGCCTGAGCTGATGGATTAATTTTTTTCTTAATAATACCAGCGATATGGGTATCAAATAAAAGAACATGGAGAGCAGAATGCGAAAAGCATTGTGGTGGGTATGCGACATTCGGTCCCCATTGAATATAGCTTTTTTACTTTTTTCTTTCTAAAATAGAACAGTGTAAAGTTTACTTATTTCGTAATATTCGTATATAATATTAAATTTATTTCTTCTCTATATTTTCATGCAATGAATTGAATTCTTTTTGTTGTTTAACTTTAACTTACGTATATCCTAAAATCTCTTTGAAAAAAAAAAAATCAAATTGATGAGACATGTCAATAACGCGATAATAATAGATGCACAATCAAGTAGAGCAACCACAATACATGCCACATGAAATGCGACAAAGCTTAAAAAAAATCTCCCCATTTCTTTTTCTTTACTTTACCTAAATTCTATGAAATATACCCATGTGCTTAATACTTTCAACCACAATATTCATAAGCCGCATCTCGCTTTTGCCTCGACAAGGACTATCATGTTCGACTAATGCTTTTAACATCGTGTTTTACACATTCACACAAGTCGCTGCTGTGTGATGAAATATTCTCGAAATTTTGTTTTTTTTTTTTTTTTATGTCGCTTTTCTTACTTTCTCCCTAATGCTAAATATTGTCTCTATACGAAAGTAATTTAATTAAATGCAAATTAAAATGCTTTTATGAATATTAAAATTCTTTTATTATCAACGAGTTTCATGCGCCTCTGCTCCTTGTTATTATTTGTTGGATGTGATATTAGATACAATTGCAATGCGAAAAATTTCGCCATGAGCAAATAATAAAGAGTAATACTCTCTCTCTTCCCCTCGAAATGAATTTTGAATACTTATACAAATGGATTAAAATGGTAGCAATTTTTTTTTTTTTTTTTGCACCAATGCAGCACAAAATGTACTACGGTGATCAAAAATTAAGACCAATTTAAGTGTATTTTTGTCAATTCTATTCATAATCCCAAATCCATTTCGTCGCCTTGAAAGTAATCCTCCTCTGGTATTATTCACTTAAGTCAATGTTTTTTTCTAATC